TGCCGCAGCAGCTGCTCTGCTAGGAGGCCTGCAGCGTCGCGCTCCTGGCACGCGCGGTCCAGCTGCCCGCGCACGTCGCTGGTCTCCTCCACCACCTTCCGCACCCAGTCGGCGTAGGCTTGCAGCCGCGCGTTCTCGTCCGCCAGCCAGGCGCCCTTGCGCAGCGCCTCCTGCAACTCCGCCTCGGCCTCTTCGCCGCGCCGCCGCGCCGCCACGGCCTGCGCGCCCAGCTCCTCGCACTCGCGCTGTCGCGCGCCCAGCTCGCGCTCCAGCGCGTGCACCTGGCATCGCGCCTCACCGCACGGTGAGCTCTGGACAGATGCCTCTGCCTGGGTGGCGCCCTTGACTTGTTGCAGGGTCAACTGCCTTTGTAGGCGCAGCACCTCCCACTGAGACTCTCGCTGCAGCCGGTCCAAGTCGCTGATGTTGAGCCATTGGGTGCAGGGTGCGCTTCCTCCAGGATGTGGAGCACCGCTGAGGCCGGAGGCGACGCGCACCTGCAGTAGGTGGCACTCCTGCCGGAGCTCTTCGATCTGCTTGTCCTTGGCCAGCAACACGCTGGCTTGTTCCGACAGGTCCCGAGCGCGCTGGCGGGCAAAGGCCTGGCACAGCTCCAGGCCCGCGCTGTTCTCGCCAGGCACAGGGGCGCTCAAGGTCCGCAGGTTGGTCTCTTGCAGCTTACGGGCCCGGTCCTCCAGGCGCCGAGCAAGGCCGGTCAGCTCGGCGTGCTTCACCTTAAGCCGCTTCACTTTCTCGTCCGCCTCGTCCGTGAAGCTTGCGCGCCGCAGCTGCGAGTTCTCCTCGCGCAGGGCAGAGTAGCGATGCGCCAGCACCTGCAACGCCTCGGCCAGCTCTGAGCTCTGCTTCACCAGCCGGTGGTAGTCCGGGTGCGGCTGTGGTTGCGAGGGAGTCAGGGCTTCGCAGAGCTGGCTCCCGGAGCCTTCTCCTTCCCGCGGGTTGGATTTCGTGTGTGCCGAAGGTAGAGGTGGTAGCGGCGGCTGCGGTGGCGGGGGACTCAAGGAGCCCGGGAAGGAGGCATCTGGAGAGGAGGCCTGCTCCTCGGATTCAGAGGTCCGCTCCTCGGATTCAGAGGCCTTAGGGCGACTCAGGGTGCTGTCAAGCGAGCGGGAACGCATTGGTGCCAAGGAATCGAGAGAGCTGGCGCGCGTGGGGAACAGGCCATCTGGGGGGCTGGAGCATGCCAGAGGCACCAGGTCTAGGGAGCGGGAGCGGATGAGGACGTCTGTGCTCAGACTATCGAGGGATCCGAGTCGACAAGCGGCCTTTGAGGTGCGGCGAGCTCTCCTCGCGATCTCTGGGAGCTGTTCTTCGGAGGAACGCGAGGCCTGGAGGCCCGGGGGCCTGCACAAAGAGGGGTGCCAGCGAAAGTGCTCCAGGATGTACTTAAGGAAGAGCTGGCGTTCCACGTCGAGCGACGCCTGCAGGTGGCGGATGCGCGCAGCCTGCTCGCCGTCCGTCTCCCAGCGCAGCTGTGCCAATACTTCTTGCAGGCGACAGCGGCACTGCGTTGCGGAGACCTCGGGTGCCCCCGCGCGGCCGCAGTAGGCGCGGTTCACCAGC